ATTCAAATCAATCTGGAAAGGCCCAAAAGGGGCATTTTTCAAAGCTCATGATTCGAATTATGATATGCACTTGATTTTAATAAAATGAGATTACGATTCAAATCATGTTCAAGTTGTGATTCAAATCATTTAGTCTAAAGGTGAATTCTAACTTTCAAAGGTGAGTGATTCAGATCTGAGATAAGACATGATTAGAATCAAACACTAAAACAACCAAATTTAAATGTTCTAACTTGTTATTCAAGGTACATATGTGGAAATGATAAAAGAGAACTTTCATGGGCTCAAAAATTAAAATACTAACAAGGATAAAGGAATTTTAATTCATGAAATGTAAAGAGTTCTCATTGGTACAAATTATTAATAGCTAAGGCGATTAAAATCAATTTGAAATGATGCAAGCGTACAAGCACATGAATGAAATAAGATCCAAATTAAAACACACAAATGATGCTCAAAGCACATAAACAATATCGAATGATACTTTGTAGTTTCAATGATGACAACACATATCTCAGGGAGGTGGTAAAAGTAAAAAAAAAAAAATTGAGTAATCTAGCTACCCCTCAATTAAGTAGAGAGTATAATCTACTCCCTCTAAGAGTATACTTCTATCCCTTTGTCAAAATCAAAAAGGCGGATAAAAATGCATTGAGATAAATTTAAATATGCAAACATGGGCAATTAAACATTTAGGAAAGGAAATAACATTATTTTATTCATTAATGGATATTATTTGTAATTGAAAGTAAAAAAATAGAGAAATTGCAAGGAAAGTAAGCAACATAAGCAAGTAAGAAAAAATTAGTTCTTCTCATCATCGTCATCCTCATTTGAAGCCATTGGTGAAATGAGGTTTCTTCTCTCCATTATTTTAAATAGCTTGTTAATCTTTGCATTCATTGGCCTTTTCTCATCACAGATTTTGTTTCGAACTGACCCAATGGCTAGGCATGGCTCAATCCACTTCTGCTCCCAGAACGGTCCAATTGCCTAAGTCCAACCACTTTGGGGGGAGAATTTACCTTTCTGCCCCTCCAACAGGGAGACTGACCAGTTTATCCTTGGCCACAACACTTTTCCTCGTCAGTCTTTGTCTGTCACACACAGTTCCACCATCCAAAAACAGTCAAGATGCATGTGCCCGTAACTGCGCCCCTACCCGTAGCAACGACTAGTTATGGGCATGTTTGTTCGTTCCAACGACTAGTTCTGGAAGTTACCTATTCTTCGAGAAACAGCTATCTCGCTGAAAAATAAGGACCAATGGCCAAGCACTTGGGAAACTATAGAAACTCTCTCATTTGAGAGGGTTAGGTATCCAATATTCACCCTGATATACTCATATTTTATATTTGCTCTCTCTCTCTCTCTCTCTCTCTCTCTCTCTCTCTCTCTCTCTCTCTCTCTCTCTCTCTCTCTCTCTCTCTCTCTCTCTCTCTCTCTCTCTCTCTCTTGCCCGATTCTTACTATGGCATCAGGGTGCCTTGCATGTACACCCTCTCCCCCTCTTTCACACTAACATCACAAAAGATTGTCTTTGGCCCACCTCAGGTTGTGATCAACCGGTAAGATCAGTGGCGTCGTCTGTGGGAAGCTTGTTATCCCTGTCTTTTCTTCTTTCGTAGATACGAGACTAAAATAGTTCTTCAAAATCCCAATCATGGATAGCCGTGACAACACTCTTGATGCTTGCAACTCTACTTTTCTCCCTGTCAGCAAGACTGATGTTGATGGAGCAACCGCCTCTCATGGCGGCGACGTCCTCTGACAAAGAGACGGAGCCACAACTTTTCCATCCTTTGTTCACGCAGATCATAACAAGATCCCACTTGTCCCAAAGCATCTTCAAGTTCCCATTCTTCCCAACGCCGACCCGACCATGGCGGTCTTCCTCGAGGTTCTCTATAAAACCAACCTCCTAATCCTCAATTAGAGCGTGAGGATTGGAGCTTTATGGTGCTCTGGGTGTTGGTATTATTCTCTGTTTAGGGACTGAAGTTGTGGTTGGTTAAGTGAAAATTATCTTGGTATTGATGTGTCGTCATGTTTGAAATGGAGGACAATGTACAAGTATTAGATTGACTAACTTGGGATCTTATAGAGTAGGTTGTGGTTCCGTTTTTGGCGTTAGTATATTTGGATTTTTTCTATATCGAGCTGGCTTTGGAGTGTTTGGAATTGCATCATATTGGCAGTATCAAATGGGCATCAGGATACTTGGAAGTGTTGGTATTAGTTTCAGTGTTTCATCGTTATAGTCACTTCTTCTTTTGTGTAAAAGCTGTGTGTTTCCTCGGTTTTGGATGCTGTACTGGACAGTGGAAATGAGTTTTTCAGTTGCGCCTTGTTGCATTGTCATCTGCTTGTATGAATTTCTTTGAGTTTTGTCCGATTTGCTCTTTCATGAATAGTTTCCAAAGTTGTTTTCGGTGAAACTAGTTTCGGAATTGGTGTTTTTTTGTTCTTCTTTGCTACCCCATAGGGTTGGAGTTTTATGTTTTAGGTATTAGCAATGGAGGAAGAGTGAATAGGGAGAGGTCGATTGTTATCTGGTATGCGTGTATCTGGTCCTTCTGGCGGCGAAAGAATGACAAGATCTTTAGACCGTCAAAAAACCAAACTTTCAGCTGTTTAGAGGAGATCCAATTACTGCCTTGGAGGTGGATGAAGGCGAAGATTAAAGGGTTTTGCGTTTGCTTCAAATTAGTGGATCAATTATCTCAGGGAATGTCTTGGCTGGAATTGAAGTTATTTGGTGATGCAGCTTTTGATCCATTAGATGTTTGTGTGCAAGGGTTCAGTTGAATTTGTCTTAGGGGTGTGTTCCTTCGATGTTCTGCTACAAGTTTTTTTTGTATTTTTTGGATTAGTTGTGTGTGTTGTTGTAGTCTAGCAGATTGGTTGGGAGGGACTGCACAATTTGTGTTGGGTTATTGCAAGCTTGTATCAGTTGTGGATGTGTCTAATATGGGTTCTCGAGCAAGCGGAGGGCATATTCTCTTAAGCTGTTGGCTCACGTCTTTGCAGAGCTAAATAAGCAACCTCAGGAACAAAAAACAACCCTAAAAAGAGCCATAAACCCCCAAAGCAACACTTAATTGCTTCTCTAACGTTCTTGATGTAGATCTTTCAAACGTAACCTTAATGAGCACCAAATCCCAAGTATAAAGACTCAAAATAGATAGAAAAATCGAAGAAAAAAAATCCCATTTGCCAAAACCCCTTTCTCGATTGCAGATTTGGTTCAATTGAAGGAGAAGAGAGAAAAAGGGATTAGGTTCAAGTAGAGAAACTGAGTTGATTAGCATGACTCTTTCATTTTCAATTTAATTTTTTGGGTTGACTTTTGATATTCAATTTAATTTAATTCAATCCCATTAAAAATTAATTTTTAATATTGTGTTATTAAGTTTGTAAATAAAAAATAAATTATTTTAATTAAAAAACAACAAAATATGACACGACGCCACTCTTGTATTGCCACGTCATAAATGAAAAGACCACATATGCAAAAGTGGAGGGGGATAAAAAAAATTCAAGAAAAGTAAGGTATAGGGACCTAAAAGCTGAATTTTGAAATAGGGGACCAAAAGGTTAAAAACACTTAAATAGGGAGACGCAAAATGAACTTAAGTCAAATATAAATTAAACTTTGATTTCATGAAAAAGATATAATAATACCATGAGGAATAGAGACAACATTCATCCTCATAACATCCACCCCAACACCAACCCACAATTCTTATACGACATAAGTTGTCTTGGCAAAAAAAAAAAAGCGAATGAAACACAATATCTTACTTATGCTAACAATTTTAATTATTCAAAACGTTCTCTATAGTTATTGTAAAGATTACAAGTGTCAAACATTACTAATACATTTTGTCTACACACCCTATTATTTACAAAAATTAATGACCAAAGTGCTGACAAAGTGGATCCTATTGTCTGAGACAATGGTGCTAGAGAGGTCGTATCGACACAAAATCCTCTGCCAATAAAAACTCCACACTCTTTCTACTGTGATCTTTGCCACCACCTCTGTCTCTATCCATTTGGTGAAGTAGTCTACTCCCACTACCAGGAATTTCAATTGACCTCGTGGTAGGGGGAACAAACCCATGGTATCCACGTCTCATTGTTAGAATGGTCAAAGCGAGGTCATCGATTGGAGAAGCTCTGTTGGGACGTTTCATCAGCGTGGGCCAGTAATACCGTACTCTTAATAGCTTGTGAGTGAGATTTGTTTGCCAACATGGCTGCTGCAGGCTCCGATGTGAACTTCTGTGAATACTAAGGCGACATCGTTCTCGCCCAGGCATCTCACCATGGGAGGAACCTTCCCAATTCTGTAAAGTTTTTATGAGAGTAGAATGTACTAGGCGGCTTTTCTTCTGATCTTTCTAGCTTCTCCCCCATCCAATAAAATATTAAGGACGAGACAATACCTTCCTTTAAACAACCTAATGTTGCCGCCTCTTCCTAGGACGGTCCTAAGATATCTTCCTAGGCAAGAAGTTTTACAAATATAACGCTACAACAATAATTAAAGAGTTTAAAAAGTTTTATTCTAATAAAATATTAAGGATATGCATGTATTTTCCAAAATAACTTATACTTCGCTCTTTTCTATTTTTATCACCATTCTTTTTTACCACTCAGTATTTCAAATCTAATTAGTTTCTCATTTATTTCTGTCTTCTCATACTCTCTCATATTTATCTTTTTCTTCAAATTTTTTCTTCTAAACCAAACACTTAATTATTAATTTGGTTAACTTTTTGTTTTTTCATTTTTTCTCATACAATGATATATATTTACAAACACCTGTTTTTTGTTTTGTTTGGGCCTTTAGCCCAATCTAGTTTAACATGGGCTTGACCTAAACCCTGTTACCCAATCTAGGGTTTAGCTGCTTCTTCGCATGGTGTCTAAACGTCTAGCTTCGAGTTCCTTGCAATTTCACAGTAAGTGCAAAACAAACCAAAATCAAAGAAATGGCGTGGCGAAGCGGTTCTCTCTCGAGGTCCATTTTCTCCGCCGCTCGAACAATTCCAACTCGTCCCTCTCTTCAAAATTCTTCTGCGTCTTCAATTCGTTCTCATCTTCTCCACCCTCGTCGCCCCCCTGTCACTGTCCCTAGGTAACGCAATTCCGTCATTTCTTTCTACGTGTTTATCGCAATTTCCAATTCTGAATTTGATTTTTGAAGGAGTTTGGGAATTCTCGGTTGCACGCAGTCGTTGATGCCGCTGTATAACGCAGACGCCGCCGCTCGTCTCACCTCTCACATTTCTGTTGATTTTCGCGCTTGCTGTGAATTGTCTCAGGGTATTTACTTTCTTCTTCCTAATTCTTACTTGTTAGCATTCTAATGGCTTTTTTTGTTAGGTCTCTATTTGGTAAAACATGATAGTAAGATTGAGCTCATTGCTTTGATATAATGTTGAATTAACAACTGAATACAAAATAAAGTAAAAACAGATGATTTTGATCATTTAAGTAATACTATTTGAAACAACTTATCAAAAGCGTTGTACTTTAGTGAAAAAATACTATGGGCTAGTGAAAAAATATGTTACCAAATACACTTTATTTGGGCTATGCTGGAGTGATGGAATGCGATGGAATAAAGAGGAATATTGTTAGGTTCCATCGTTTGAATTGGTTAAGAGAGAATGGAATGGAGTGGAATATTATGGAATATTCCATTACTTGCCCTCATTTTTGTTCGTTCCTACATTCCATCATAAAATATCCAAATAATAGAATGAAATATTCATTTCGATCCATTCCACTCCCACTCTGTTCAATTCCACACCCTTAGTTTTGAAATATCCAAACATATGTTTGGATATTGTAAAACGAAGGAAGTAGAATGGAGCAGAGCAGGATGAAATGGAATAAATGTCATTCCATTGTTTGGCTATTTAATGATGGAATAGAGCAATTTTGTCATTGCGCCTAAATTGGAGGGTACCAAATATAATGAAAAGTGATGGAACGGGGATAAAATGCTTCCATCAGATTCCGCTCAATGCCATCATTTTTTAATCAATCTAAACGATTGAACATAACCTCATTCATTTTCATTCTACTCCATTCCTTCATATTCCACCAATCCAAACATACCTAAGGTTAAACTTTGTCTTGCCAAAAAGATCTTAAACCATGTTTTGATTGGGTTATTTCAATTTATCTTCTAGTATAAGTTTTGAAACTGTTTGAGATAACTTATATAAATAGGTTATAATAACTTGTAAAAGTAATTTAACTTTATTTTATCTCTTACTATAAAAGTATATTATTCATAAGCACTTGTCATGATAAGTCTATAAATTGCTAATAAGTTGTTCATCAAAAAAGGATAAGTATATTTGGATAAACAATTGAATGAAGTTTTTTATAATCTATTATCATATAAATGCTTATAGTAAGCCATTTTGGAAAAGATAAAATAAAGTTAATCTGGGTTGATATAAGCTATAAGTTGTTTTCATAAATAATACAGATAAACAATGAGAATAAATTATGAACATGTCATAGTCTGTTTTTACAAGCTCTTTTAAACAGTAGCATAAATGTTAGTGGCATGAAATTTGTTCTTATTTAACTTGACATACATTCTATGTAATGTTTCTTCAATTATTATCTCCAGAATTTAGTTTCTTTACCCCAAAAAATATATCAGAAATCAGTCTGTGCAGTTCATTTTTCTATTCATTCTACACTTTGGGGGACATTTAGCTGATATATATTTCTCAAATTAAACTGCTACATCTTTTTTCATTGTGAATAAGTTTTTGTGTTTAACAGGTACTTGAATTGATTTTACAATCAGCACTAGTTGCACCTACATGTTTGGTTGGATCTAAAAAGGATGGCTAATGCTGTGAAGCACAAAGCTTGTTGGTTCATATCTTTTACTTGATTAATCTCTTTTATCATTTTAGTCAAAATTAAATAAGTATATCTATCTATTCTTCTATTAAGATTTAGGAAACTTTTCAAGCTAATTGAAGGATATTGTAATACTTTGTCATGCTGTGTATCATCAGACAATAATAACACTGTTCAGAGACCAAGGTTAAATTGAAATTTATTGAATGTATAGATGGATATTGATAGTTGGTAGTGTCTCATCATTATATGAGCATATGCAATGGTTTTGCTTTTGATGAAATTCTAATGTTTTATAATTTTGGTTGAATCAGTGTTGGCCTACTTACAAATTTCATTATATGTTTACCATACCACATTGGCATATTATTTTCATATGGGCGAGTTAATGGGCATTCCACGCCCTCAGATATATGTTTTCAACTAGGTACTCTAATTGTTATACTACTTCACCAGGTATGGAACTGGTTTGATATGGTCATTATCAGATAGATGTTATATTTCCATGATGTTTTTCCTTCCTTGCATCACAAGTCTTTCATAAGATTAGATGTTATCTTTCCATGATGTTTTTCCTTCGTAGGCTTGCGTTTTCAACATACTCAATCATGTGATATAGTTTTCTGACCTCATCATGTAGGTTGAGAGATTTGTTCCCCTACTTGGGTCTGATGTTGGGTCACTTTCTACAACGTAAGTTCCTATTAGTATCATCACATCAGATCTGCAAACTAGTTTAAAAGATGTTTTCTGTGTGTAGACAATTGTGGTGTAGTGCGACATGATCATATTAATCCAATTAGATGCTCGACCCATTCTCGTTTTTCATAATCTAATCTCTTCCTCAATCCATCAAGGATAATATTGTTTGCTTATTTGACCTTATTTGTCCTGCGTGTTTGTTTATGGATGTTCCACTAAAGCAAAATTTAGCCTGATGTCAAGTTTTTTTTGTCTCTGCACAAATCTTGGAACCTTTGGTTTGTAAATTGGACACAATTATATGTGGTGATCGAGTATGGGAGACCATGTTTGCATATAAAGTTCTTCCATACAAACTTCCACATGTTTTATGCATTAATGGTGGATAAGTGCTCAACCTCCATCCATTTAAAAAAGAGTCAATGGCAACAACTATGAATTTTAGCTTACCTGGTTCAAGTAGCACCTTAGATGGTTGACGTGTTTACTAGAGAATCTTTTGCACCTTTCACATTTATGCACACATTCCTTGGAATCTAACTATGGTTGACCAATCATATACTGATCAAATTATTTTTGAGGCTAAGAGTCTTCCACAATGATTTCCACTCCCCGAATGGATTTTTTCATAAAATATTTTGCTTCTTTTTCTTTTAAGTTCAAAAATAAAATTCGGGAAAGGTCCATATTGTATAACTTATCAGTAATGATGGTGTAATGTGTTATAATTCACTGACTTTTCTAGCCTCCTCTGTTACTAGGTAATACCTACTAAACTAACGGAAAAACTATGGACTTAAATTAAGTAAAGCCTTCTTGCTAGCCTATTTTGACAAGGGAAATGTTCTTTCTATCCTAGGTGTGGCCCACATCTCTTGAAATTTCAAAATGTCTCCATGTATTCGAAGTAGTATTTTTTGAAGAAGTATTTTAGGTTGCATGTAAAATCACACCTACTAGCGTCTGTCTGAGATTCATCACATTTTGAATAAAAAAATTGTTTATAGATGCATTCGTATGATATTTTGGTGTATTTGAAAATTCATCTCTGAAATATCCTCAGTACTCAATTATGGTGTTTTTATTTACTAAATTTTGTATTTTTGAGGCCAATATGTTTTGCGTCATTTTATTCCAACTTTATGCCATGAATTAGAAGGAAAACGTATACATTAATTGATTCAAACATAATACTCAATTATGAAAAAGGTCATACAATTACCAAAATGTACGGACAACACATAAGTTACGAAAAGACAATAATACAACCAAACAAAAATCCTATTGAGTTTGTCTAACTGTTTTCGTTGAAAAATGGTAAACAACCGCTGGTCTCTTAATTAAGGGTCACTTGTAGGATTAACCAATGAATCATAAGACATAGTGTTAAGTAACATCTTGTTTTTTATTATCTTTTTATGTTAAAATGACTGTTCTCTACTTGGTCGAAATGAGGTCTTAAACAACTAAAAGAAAATGAAAAACGTCGACTTCGACTACATCAGAAACGTACAAAGGAAATGACAAAGATTGAAAATGTTGAATGAAACAACTTAAAAAGTATTGAAAGTTAATAAGATAAAGCAAAGGAAAAGATAAAGTTAATGACTTTGCGTTGAAAGTAAAGGATGATGACTCATTGTTCATACATTTTCTCAGCCATAACTCGTTTATTTAGACGCGGGTACTTTGAGTTTTTTGTGAGATTTTTGTAACCAAATGAACACCCCAAATTCAACATAACGAACTCTTATATATGCAAGTATGAAACAACTACTTCTAACGTTCCTATCTTCAGAGTTCGCCACGTGAAACTCTGCATGTAGTCTGCCTTCGTGCTCCCTCCACGTGTCCTTTCAGAAAGAAACTCACAAGCAATTATTAGTATTGGAACGTCACATTGTGCGCCAAATAACCACATTCTTGACCTTTTCGCCAATGTCGCAAGGACTATGCGGTCGATGTTATCACAGAGTCGAAATGCCTCTTGCAACATTAGAAAAATCACTAAGTCCAGGTTATGGTCGAACTAAGAATCTTCGGTACCTTGTCGGGTTTTCCCTTGTCGAAAATCCCAGCTAATAAAGTCTTAAATAGTTGTGGAAATTATCATTGAAAGAGAAGATCAATCATAGGATTGATAACTTTATATACACAGATTTCAAACTCATTGTAAATCAAAGATTGTATTTATTACCCTTGTTATTCAGGATTGTTGAAAGCAAGTGTGTGCATTGAAGAGGATTATTCTTCTGGCACTTAGTGTTCAGATTTTAAAGGTGTTAAGAGCCTTTAATCTACCTATAGGTTAGAAAGTAAGTTGTACACTCAGTCTAACTACAGTGAAATCTCTTTCAGTGTGAAAGGGGACTTAAGTACCTTCGGAGTGTGAAGGGAACCAGGATACTTCTCTATATTATTTACTTTCTGCACTTTATTGCTTTCATAACCCCGTCATATCTCAAGAAAGTAATAACCTCATTCGATAAAAACCACAAAATTTCAAAGAACCTAATTTACCCCCTCTTAGGTGCAACTCAGACTATCAATTGGCATCAGAGCAGGTGTTAGGTAACCTGTTCCTAATCGATTCAGAATGGCTTCCGCAAACAACAAAGGTGTGTTTAAAGACGATGGCAGTAGCAACAAGCCTCCCCTATTTTGTGGTGAATACTTTAACTTCTGGAAGATTCGCATGAAGGCTCGCTTAGAAGCACAAGGAGATGGAATATGGGATGCTGTCCAAAATGGTCCATTCGTTCCTTCAACGATTGTTAGTGGTGTTGGATCAACAAAGCCTAAAGGTTCATGGGATGACGATGATAAGAAAAGTGTTCTCTATGACAAAAAGGCAATTAATCTTCTACAAAGTGCACTAAGCATGGACGAATTCTTTCGCATCTCAACATGTACATCAGCAAAGGAAATATGGGATACTTTAGTGGAAACTCATAAAGGAACCACTGAAGTTAAAAGGTCGAGATTGAATACGTTAAGTCAGGAATACGAGTTATTCAGAATGCAGTCAGGAGAATCAATTCTTGATTTGCAGAAAAGATTTGGCACTTGACAAATCATCTGAGAGCACTTGGTAAGACATTAACTAACGATGAATTAAATCTTAAAGTGCTTAGATCTTTGTCCAGATAATGGCAACCCAAAGTGACAACAATATCTGAGAAGAAAAGTCTATCCACGATGACATCCGCTACATTGTTTAGAAAACTTCAAGAATATGAGATAGAACTTGGGCAATTAGAAAAACATGAGAATCAAGAAAAGAAATATAAAAGCATCGCATTAAAGGTTGATTCCAAAGAACTAGAAAACGAAGACGATCCGGTTGAAGATGAAAATTTCATGCTTCTTGTAAAAAGGTTAGGAAAATTTTTTGGTTCTAAGAATAATATTGAAAATTCTGACTATATCAAAAGGAAGAAGTTTTCAAAGAACAAAGAAAAGGAGGTGTCAACATCCACACAAGATGTCAAATGCTATGAATGTGTAAAACAAGGACACATCAAACCAAACTGTCCTAAACTCTCCAAGAACGATTCCCATAAAAGCAAAAAGGGTTTTAAGAAAAATAAGGCCTACGTGGCATGAGAGGATAACAAGATAAGTTCCTCATCAGACTCAGATAGTGATTAAAGCACAAATCTAGCATTAATGGCCTCACATCACTCTGACGATGAAGACAATGAGAAAAGTGAAGCTTTCAAGGCATTCAAGAAGTATGCAAAACAAATTCAGAATGAGAAGTCACTTTCAATTGTCTCCATTAAAAGTGACCATGATGGAGAGTTCCAGAACGCTTTATTTGAAGAATTTTACGAAGAAAATGGAATCTCACACAACTTCTCCGCACCAATAACTCCACAATTAGCTTGCAGATATATTCACAAAGCCATTGGCAAAGGAACCTTTGTTCAAAATTCGGAGAGAACTCAAAATTTTGGATGAAAATGATGTTTAATCATGAAAGATCATCAACTATGGTACATACTATCTTTTCTATTTTCAAAATATCATAGTATAATATGTTTTCGATATTTCAGATGTTACATATTTGTCTGAAAAATGTTATGTGTTTTTATTTGCACAAAGTATATTTCTTTTTGAATTTTTTCTCACTTTTCACTGCTTGCAATCGATTGCACCTTGGTGTCAATCGATTGCTCACTGTAAGTTTTCCAAAAATACTGAATTTTTTAAGCATGCA